CAGCCAGACGACAGTCAAACCACTCCGTCGCGACCTTCCAAAAGGCAAGCAAAATTTTCAACACATCCTCAAATACAGCTTCTCATAGCAACGACAGCGGATTTACGAGCACGAAAGACTCAGAGAAATTTTATGTAGAACAGGCGGCGTGGTACTTTTCCATCTTCCACTACAAGGATGGCTTCGCCACCTTAGTGAACCACTCAACAGCAGCGAAGAAGGTGCTGATAGTGATAGTAGTTGCTTGCCGACTCATAAAGAAAGAGGTATGCTTTACGTTAACGCCATGGTTTATTCGTCCGACACCGGATCCCTATTTCTAGTGGTTATTCTTCCGATGAAATCTAGATAAAAAGTATACATGGATTGCTACTTTAAGTTATATAATCATGACCTCATAGACCTCCATACATCATTCAGTTCCAGGCCATCCAAAAGAAGAAGGATTTGCTGTTCTGCAAGAATGCTAGGGGAAAAAACTTAAATTTTTCATGGTCCTCCGCTATTGCCGAGGTCAGGGAATACATGCCCACTACTGTTGCATGTTTCCATGCCACCTTCCCATTGGCAACGCACGTGAGGATGCGGGCGTCTATAGAACGGTATTGTCGCCCAGAGAACTCCTCTACGGTGGACAGTGTATGGAGGGGAAGAGGTCACGGCAGCTAATCAGGTTATGCATATGCAGATCAAGAAGCCAGTCGACCTGAATGATTGTTGATCTGGTCGATTTCGCCAAAGCATAATCTTGACTTTACACCTTTACAATACATCAACACCTTTACAATAATTCGACACACTTTCTGGTTTATGAAAATTTTAACAAAATCATGCTATGAAAAAGTAGCTCTGGCCAAGCCTAAAATAGCTACCGTAAATAAATTTACGAGAGCTCATTTTTTCATACAAAATCAAAAAAGAGCTCTCGTAAAAAAAAGTAATTTTTAGGCTGATTGATACCTACGATCGATAAGCATGTGCATAGATATTTGTGGAGAGATCTAGATGTCGACAGAGAACCAGATGTGTACGTCAAGCAGGTGTTGTCGTTTGGGGATAAGCCTGCTGGAACCATGGCGATCACTGCACTGAGGCTGACAGCGGATGAAGGTCGAGAGAAATACCCGCGAGCTGCGGAGGTGATAGAAGCCAACACTACCATGAATGACATGTGCCCATCTGTCAAGTCGGAAGCAGAAGCAACACTGACGCCAGAGGTTGATAGAGTGCTAGCCTTAGGTGGGTTCGAGGTCAAAGCGTGGTCCTCGAATATAGATCTTGAAGATGCAAAAGGTGGAATAGTTGCTAAGCCTGAAGGTATGAAGAGTGAAGTAGTTGATAAGCTTGAAGGTGCAAGAACTGAGGTTGTTGGTAAACAGATAGTTGAAGTAGGACATAGCTCGGAACAGAAGGTGTTAGTGTTCAATCACGGTACATACCATTAGTTTGTTTTCCCATTTGACGTTGCAAATATAAAATGGGTTTCTGACCTATTTCCTATTTTTTTAAATGAAAATAGAAAATAGGAAATGGGTTTCTGACCCGTTAGTTTGTTTTCCCATTTGACGTTGCAAATAGTAAATGGGTTTTTGACTTATTTCTTATTTTTAAGCTGAAAATCGAAAATGAGAAATGAGAAATAGGAAATGGGTTTCTGATCCTGTTTCCTATTTGCGAAGTGACGCAAATTCGCAATGCAATCGGCAAACTCCACTACAGATGGCGCTCTCGCTCATGGGCTCAATCACCACTGCCACCATCCGGGTACCCTGGGTCTGGCGTGCTCTACACTGACCTAGGCAAGGATGGATTAATGGCGGCCTACATGGAGAGAAGCAACATGGCGGCAATGGTAATGTTAAGTAAGAATTGCACTAGAAATGACTGTTATAGCGTGAGCAGTTTGGTTTTCTGGAGCGGAGGGTAACTATAGTATGTCCAGAAAACACCATTCATATACTTTTTCAGCAACTGCACATGCCAGATCCTACATAATTCAATCGCTGTTTGACCGGTGCCCTCGATTAAGCTCCGCCCACTTTTCCAAAAGTAAACAATTGAAACACCGTCACTTGTATCTCGTGTTTACGGACGTAACAGGGCATAACTGGTCAAATATTTTATAGCTGCACACAGTACACTCCCAAAAATCAATGAACCACATCAGCATTTCAGTTATTCTGGTCAGATAGTTACTAGATCAGGCTTGGAAGATGACCCAGTTCTCTCATAAATCCCCATTACCCTATTGCTATGCTATAGCTATACATTCTGACTAAGCATGCAGTACCCCCCCCCATTCTCTATCTCTCTCTCACTCTATCTCCATTACACACGCACGCACGCACGCACGCACGCACGCACGCACGCACACACACACACACTTAATTTACTTTCCAAGTTAGTAAATGTGTCTTAATTTATTTTTCTCAGGAAGATGGACTCAACTGTGTTTAGCCAAACACAACTCGAAATATGGCATGGAAATTGATGTTCTCAAGCTACTCCAAATAGATGTGTTGCAGTCAATACTATACAAAGATACAATTGTAATGTTACCTACAGGCTATGGAAAGTCATTAATATATGAACTTCTGCCAGAGTTAAGTGATCATTTCTTGAAAGCATTTGTTTTAGTTATCGTTCCTTTGAATGTCATTTTGAATCAACAGCTGCTGAAACTTGGAGACTATGCAACATTGATCAAGACAAACATGAGCAACAGTGAACGAAAGAAATTGACTGACGGCAAATACACGTTTGTTTTCGCTCACCCAACAGCTAATTGACAATAAATTACTATATGATATTTGGCTAATTCAATATTATCAACACCAAGCAAAGACATTTATTGTCATCGATGAAGCGCACTGCGTGTTGGACTGGGGTGAGAACTTTCGTCCAGCATTTCAGCGTCTCTACACACTTCAGGTAAATGTAGTACACATTGTATTTGATTTATAGTTGTAACAGAAAATGTGAGCTATCGGGCAAATGTGCTTGGATGGAATGTTAATGGTTGCAACATCATGGCAGTTGTATTCATGTTAAGTGTGTTTGGATGGAAAGGAACGTCAGAAGACGCAATATAATGGGGTTCTGTATTTATGAGACATGAATAGAAACACTAAAAGTATTGTTATATTTTTCTTGTTGCAAAGCGTACATCTGTCAACAGTTATAGTTTGTTTTGATCATTTGACATATAAATTCGTGTTTATTTGTCTGATACGATATGCAAGGATGGTCGTATTTGTGTGGTGTGCTGTTGTGAAATTAACGTGAGTAATGTGGATTGTTGGTATGTTTCTTTGTAGGGAAGTCACTGATGATGAGAAAGAAAGGGAGTAAGTGTCACCAACGGTACAAGGACGACGAAAACGTGTAGATCGATGTTGTTAGTACACAAGCGTTTTTTTAATTGATATTAGTATATAGATTGTAGTTATAGATAGTGTCATAATGGAGTGTACAATAGATTAGTGTAGAGTAGTCATTCTGAATCTAAATGTTGATTATATTGTAATGGATTGTAATTGTAATTGTATTGTTAATAATTGATTTAATGTACTACGTATGATTGTATTGTGTTGCACGCTATGCATAATAAATATATAGTAGGTAATGTTATCGAAATCTACAATGTTATTGATTTCTAAAAATAGTAAATAGTAATAGTAAATTATAGTAACAACAAAAATAATGAAAATTTACCTCCATACATCATTCAGTTCCAGGCCATCCAAAAGAAGAAGGATTTGCTGTTCTGCAAGAATGCTAGGGGAAAAAACTTAAATTTTTCATGGTATATACATGAAATGTTGGTAACATTAAAACATATGCTATTACTTGCAGAAACCTGCGTCCCGATGAAGTCCAATCTGTATCGGACAGGAACCTAGAACAAATGCTTGCCATAGCTCTTTTCAATAAATGCCCAAGGAAATTCAACTTTGTGCAACAGTGTTGCCATTGAAATGTGGCATCAAGGAGCACCACACAAGGTCTTCTTCACGCTCAACCACATGGGAATCTCACATGGAGTTGGGGCAGCACGGAGTCATGTTGACTTAATAGGCAAGGAACATGACAAGTAGTAGTTTGGAGGTAATAAACAACAGTGTCACTAAACATATGCTTTAATAAACATATATGCACATGTGTATTCAGATTACACGCAGATCCCTTTCTCATGAACTTTTGAAGCAACATATTCCCTATTTGATACACTTAAGATTACCGTGTATTTATGCATTAATGTCAAATGTTTAAGGTCTATATTGCACGTTTTCTTCTATTCAAGGTTCTACCAACTGAGGATGTGGTAGCAAGCTGAACTACCATCAAGCGAACACATACAGCTTCTGCTTGGATAATGGAACAGAGGCAAAACACCAAAATGTCAAAAGCAAAAACTCCTTCCTGCTGATGACCATGTGCTTTGCTGTTAGAGAAGGAGGCAGAGTAGAAGAAGCTGCAGTATTTATGGACACTATCCCACACGTGTGATCAAGAATATTAACCCCAATAGTGTTCCTTTAAACCATGTTTTCTCATGGTATTTTCATAATTAGGCGAGTCCTATTAAAGAAGAGGATGTAGTCCTTAATTAAGGTAAACATGGTGATGACGACATTGTTCACCAAACGGTGAGGGAGAACTGGCTTGCTTGGATGCAGAACCACACCACCAAAATACACCTATCAGTTGTGACATAATATGCACACAGCTTTAATTCACCTGCATGTAATCAGCTTTCATTGTTGAATATATCGCTTCACACGTCTCTGTGATTATTTCGCTATATGTATTATTTATGTTTGAAATGATTTATGTAGCTTTACAAATGACATGGACACGCCCGCGCGTGTATTTGTGTATGTGTGCGTCTGTGTGTTTGCGTGTGTGCGTGCTTGCGCGCGAGCGCGTGCGTGTCCATGTATATGTGTGCATGCGTGCGTGTGTGTGTGCGTTCGTGTGTGTGGGACGTGCGTGTTTGTGTGTGTTGGTGCGTACGAGCGTGTACACAACATATAGTTACACAGTAGGTATATATATGTGTAGTTAGATGGAAACTATAAATACACTACTTGGTTAGAGAGGATGAAGTGCCTTCGATATTTCTGCATGAAATTATACAATGCCCACGGACATTTATCTCTCACTATCATTTAGTGGTGGCATATATTTAAACGGTACGCAGATGTATATAGTCAAGATAGATACAGTGATTTCCTAATTAAGTAGCAATATCTTAGTTCATCTGTTTACCTAAAAAAAAATATTATCTGTGTAGCTACCTAACGTACAACATCAGAGTGGGCAGAGGGTAAATAAAGAATCTTTGAAATGTGGCGTATCTGCCCGTGAACAGACTTGTACTACAGAAGTGTACCCTAACCGTAATACTAACCGTAAACCCAACCTTAACTCTGACCCTAAACATACTTCACATAAAAATATAAACATAATACTAAACAACCTAAAACTACCTCGGGTACATATCTGTAGTACCTGATACGACAACGACCCCATCTTCTATACTATGGATTGTTACAAGCGCTAATGCATGGCACGGAGTGTGGGCCGTGTGCTTTTCGATTACATAATGCGGCAGGCAGCTACATTTCTATCTGGAGGTGAACATGTGTATATTGATGTGTGAGTGTGAATTATCGTGTTCGCTAGTAAAAGTTTGCTTTTCCCATAGGCAGTAAGGAGCTGCAATGCCAAGTGTGTATAAAAGAGGACGTGGATTTGGTATCGGTAGTTCTTCGGAAATTGCTGAGCAAGATGAGTCTGTTGAAAGTGAAATTCTACGTCCTGGATACGCCAGAGGAGAGGCAAGGGAAAAAAGTAGTTTTCTGGCGTGTGCCAGTCCTCAACGAGGAAAGCACGAGGACCGACGTAACGTTTTTTAACGAGAAATTCGTCAACAAATTTACGAAGAGTCGATTCGTGCAAGTGGGCAACCCTGGAGTCAGAGACGACAATTTCTCTCTGCACGATCGGTCGACGGTATGTATAGATATATTACTCAATATATATACAAATATATAAGTATGTAGATAAAATGATACGCATTCATTCATTGACGATACTACATATCTCTGTGTACAACGTATTGCGTGTGTCGAGCAGGCTGTTACAATAATTTTAGTTATGTGATGTGGAACAGCGTTAAAAGTATAGTAGTATGGCTCGGGGCGTGCAACATTCCGGCAACTATATTCATGTTTACAACAAAATGTATGTAATTGTGTGGATGAAGTACGGAAACGAGATTGTATGTATAAATCAAGGTTTTTTATGTGTAGGTGATGATTTGTGGCAAGTTTGATGTGGATATGGAAGTGGTGAGAGATTTTGCACATGGGCCAAAGGTGACAATTGACGAAGCGTTAAGGTCACCAAAGCGAAGACGTATCAGCGTGTCCGGCATAGTCAGTGATGTAAGTATGATATTGGGATGTCAGTAGCAAATGAATGTTGCAGTGCAACATCATTGTGAAGTAGATAAACACGTTTCGTGAAATGTCTGGTGTGATTTTGACTATGTGAGCAACTGTTTTGGTGTGTGTTGAACAGTGATTTACATGTACATAAACTGCGTGGGTCTATTTTGCAGGTTGTTGTAACGAAGGCGTTACCAAGTACGAGTAGTGAAACGCAGCAGCGAGCACAATTTAACGTCTGCGATGTTGCCGGCAGCCCTGTGAAGCTGCCCATCAAAGTTTGGGGCAAGCGGGCTGTAGAGATAGCAGTGAGTGACGGGGATGAGGTCAACATTGAAAACTTGGAGATTGGCTTGTTCGGATCACAAAAGGAAGCTACTTTTACCAAAAGTACCAAGATACAGGTAGGTTTTCAGATGTTGTGACAAGGGAGCTTTAGTTTATTTGCTAAATCGTCATAGTGACTGTTATAGGCTGGACATGCTATTGACATCTATGTAGCATGTCTATATGGCTGGCTTATTGCTATCGTATTGAGAAAGACTTGTCATAGACATATTGAACGTATAGATGACATGCATCATATTGGATTTGCACAACAAGTGTGAATGATTGTTACAAAGAAATGTATGAACGTGAACTAATCTTAATAGCTATTTGTATGTATTCCAGCTGCACTTATTTATGCCTCGTAGTGGTGTGGTAAACAGTGTTTTTGATGCAGGTTACATCAGTGTCCGTTGAAGGCGAACAACAGGGAATACTCAGAGGATTTGACATTGAAGGGTACGTAGAGTATAATTGTAGTAGTGTTAGTGAATGAATTTGGTGTTGTAAACACACACAAGACGTTTGGACAGATGATTAGTGATTGATACGAGTTAAGTTTTTGAAATGCGTGCAGTAACGTCCACACATAAGTGACATTTTTGCTCACACGTGACTTGATGAAAATGTTGTTATTGTGTGTGTAGTGACACTGTGACGGTCGAAATCACAACCGGTACGTCAGCGAAGATGTGGACAATGAGTCTGGAATTGTTCGACACGCTTGGAAGTGAAGAAGATATAATTCATGGGTTGGACACAATGAAAGTGACGTTTACGGCCAGCAAGGGCCAGATCGTCAAAATCAGGTAAATGTAGTACACATTGTATTTGATTTATAGTTGTAACAGAAAATGTGAGCTATCGGGCAAATGTGCTTGGATGGAATGTTAATGGTTGC